TAGCTACAGTGTATCATAGCTATAGTAATGAACTAAACTTTGCAGAAAGATAAGAAAAGTGTAGAATAATTCTTTATGTACAAGTATTTAGCGAAGCTTAACAAAATGAAAAAAGTTTATAATAATTTTTAGAAAAGCATGTTTTAGAAAATTTACTATTGTAACTATTCAACCATTCAATAATATAATCACATACGAGAAATTTATCATTATTTGGTAAACTGGTTTGCCATACTTTTCGAACTGGTCAATAAATCTGAAGTAAACCTGATGTCATTGAGATAGTTTTTATTTCGAAGGGTCCTGCGTATGTAAAAAGAAGAAAAGTAGGATGGAAGATAATTGTATTAAGAAAATATAGTTTAAACAGGCCCATTGGGAACAATTCTCACTTGAGAAAAACTTTAGCTCTTGTTTTCTTCACCAGATTCCCCTTCGTGCTCTTCTGGCCCCACCTTTACCCAGGGGTCATGATTTGAACAGTTTAGACTTGAAACCTTCCCAGGATGTTTCACAAAAGTTTAAGCTATTCTGGTCCACTTGTTCTTGATTAGATTTTTTTCAAAGATTTTTTCCTTAAAACAAAATGTACAATTGTGGCATCGTCCTTCCTCCAGGGGTCACAATTTAGACAAGAATCCCATGGGTCTTTAGGTCACATGAGCATCATATAAAAACTTTATAGCATTTGAATTTTGTTCATGTTTTACACCAATGGCCAATGTTAAAAAGATTTTAAAAGAGCATCAGTGCTAATTATAACTTTACACTAACATGATTATTGTGATAACGTAACAGTTAGAAGCAAAAGGAACAAAAAAAGAGGTCCATTGGTCAGATCCCTAATCTGAGCACATTAGCTAGGAAGCACCCTTCCTCATCATCACTACCCTGACAAAAAAACTATAGTTAAGTATAGTTTGTTTTAATTAACTATAGTTAACTATAATTTATTTTTTGGATCGTGGCCTGTGCTTATATTTTAATTCTTTGCTGAAGGTAGTCAGATATGCATGTTTTCTGCAAATTTCAAGAACATTGCAATTTCTAAATGAGAGCACCAAGTGTCTATTTTGTTTTGATATATGAAATGGGAAAGAGGGTGATAGTTTATTAATTGATATAAGTACAGGGTCATTTTATACATAAGATAACTCTTTCTCTTTCGTTTCCCTTTTTTGAAAATTACTATACGAGGGGTTATCAAAAAGTTCGCGAACTACTCTATATCTAAAAAAAAAACACCACGATTCAAATAAAAAAATGGTACACACTTAGCATACACGTTCTATAAATATCATATGCTGAATAAAGTTTTGCTTCTTGTTAGTGACGTCATAATCTGAAAATGACGTCAGTATGTAGGACACTTTTGACAAAATATGGTTATCTCAGTCGAATTCGAATGTAAAATTTATGGTATGTCTTAGAAATTCCTTTGCAGTAGCTTATAATAATTTGTACACAATTTATTTAGACAAAAGACTTCCTATAAATTAAATCAATGTTTGGACTGATCGTTTGATGGTTAAAAGTGATACTTGTTCTGTGTGAAAGCAAGTTTGAAAAGAAATGTGTTTTTCATTAAGCAATTAACAATCAAAGACTTCCAATTTACACTTTGAAAAATAGTTGAATATCTTGACAGTAATATAATTATTAAATACCTAAGATATCTTAGACTATATCGGAAACTAAAATGGTACGGCCACGTTTCACACTCAAGTGACCTTGCAAAGTCTAACCTGCAAATGACAGTTAAATGTGGACAAAGACAGGGAAGACAAAAGAAGAGGTGGGAAGACAACATGCCTGAATGGACTGGACTGAGTTTTGCAGAAACCCAAAGAGCGACTGAAAACTGAGACGTATGGATAAAAGTGTGGGATAGGTCTTCGAAAGTCCCCCAACGACATCAACGAAGTCAAGGGATAGGTGAAGGTGAAGAAGGTGAAGATATCTTGTACTTTACAGTTAAAACATACTACATATGATTAAAAGGAGGAGCCCAATCTCTATCAACCTTGAAATAAACGTCTCTCCCGAGACAAAGAATTTTGATGGTTGCCATGCTTACTTTTGGAAAAGATATTCTAATCCAGCCATTCTGTTGCCGAGATTTGACCATTTCTGACAAATGAACTGTTCTTGTTATAAAAATTAGCTTACATGGAAAACAATGTAAAACTCAGAAAAATCTTTCAATTTTCTTCACAAAACACTAAGGAAGGGTCAGTTGACCGCCTCTTTCGAGTGATTCGCGCATGAGCAGAACGGGGTAGATGTGCATTAAAATCGGAGATGACTAATTCAAAATATAATCAACACTGAAAACAAATATTGTTTCTTTTATAGAAATGATTCAATTAGTTCGCTAACTTTTTGATCACCTTTCTTATTCTTGTTTAGCAGAACGCACATCGTAAACAGGTAGACAAAAACAGATAGCAATATAACATATAGAGCCTCGCGTGACCTAAAAAGAGCCTTTGTTGGATCCTCATCAAAATCATAATATAAATTTATGTCTTGAAAAATCTTAAACTGAAGCGAGAACTTACTCTATTTTGCATTTGAAAATTGTATTTTCATAACGTCTATAAGCAATATTTGCGTCAATGGGGAACATTTTCTACTTTCTCCTTTAGAAGATACATGTATGGTAAGGAAAGAAATAGAAATATATGTATTTTTTAAATTGATCGAATGACCTTGGGCTTAGATCAAGACCCATCTATAGGAAATTATTTAAAAACCTGAATACAAATTACGTCGACCACATGGCGCAGAGGTTGGATGGTCAGCTCTACAGTCGCAAAGTAAGGAGTTGATTCTTACGTCATGGGTTCGAATCCCACTGTGGGGCGCTGAGATCGGTCCATCGGATGAGACCGTTTTAACCGAGGTCCTGTGTAACAGTAGGTGCTGGCATGAAAAATACCCTTCCCTGCTCAATGGCCGAGAGTGTCAAGTATAGGACAAAATTTGCAGCTTTCCACTGGCAAGTGATGACGTCTCCATATGAGTGAAAAATCATCGAGAGGGACGTTAAACAATATACAATCAATCAATCGAATTATGAACTTCCAATGCCTCCATGAATCATTTATGAACTGGACACAAATGTTAATAATTTTGTCCTTGGTATTTAATAAAAATCAGGTCATGATGATACACATAAGTTATAAGCAGTCTCTCTGCCGTTGTGATTTTACAATGATTTGAAGCCTCAACATAAATGCAGACAAACTAAGATGAGACCATTTTAACCAAGGTCATGTGTCACAGGCCCCTCCCTGCTTAATGCCCCTGAATGCCAAGTATAGAACAAAATTTGCGGCTCTTCACTGGAAGGTGGTGGCGTCTCCATGAGTGAAAAAATCATCAAGAGGGATGTTAAACAATATACAATCAATCAATCAAATTATGAACTTCCAATGTCTCCATGAATCAATTATGACCTGGACAAAAATGTTAAAATTTTTGTCCTAGGTTTTTGGTAAAAATCAGATCATGATGATTCACATAAGTTATAACCAACCTCTCTGCCAGTGTGATCTTACAATGATTTTCCACAGTTAAAGCCCCAATATAAACATGATAAATGCAGACAAACTAACAAAAGAAAGGACAAGATGATTATTACATACTTTGCTAATGTTAATCTTTGTTTACCGTGGGTGTAAACATTTACGTATAGTTACCTTTTCCCAGAAACTCAGAGTCTTTTGTACATTTATGACATGTTTTTTCTGTTGTTGACACATGCACTCTGTTTCTTCATCAGTTTTAATTTGGGAGAGATCATCTGCAAGGGAGAAAGATGAATCTTTTTCATCACAAATAATGTAATGACATTTGAATCCTTTGTGGAATACTTTTGTGCCCATAAATGTTTCTGTCAGTTTTTTTATGGCTTTTTCAATGGATTCTCCCATTTCATTTGATACGCCTTTGTCTATAGTCAGTGGTGTGATTCTCAATACTTGTAACTGGATATCATCATTAGATATGCCAACAACAGCAGTGTGTTGTTTGTGACTAAACACTGCTGCTGTTTGATAAAGACAAGGACTTCTTTGATTGTCTTCGTTTTTTGAAACTCTCCATTTTAGAGAGCTCATGCAGTATGCCACCAGTCTGTAGAACACAAACATGGCAAAAGAAGTGAACCGAAAGCATAAAATGGAGGAGCATTCCCCTATTTCTTCATAGTTTGCTTTAAATTGGTGTTTGTTCATACATGGGACATACCATGACATGTTGCCTTCTGATACAGCCTCAAAAGTGTCCAGAGGTACAAGCATTTGAAGCTTCTCCATGTACGACATAATTTCACTCTTGTGTTCCAGGTACGAGGGTTCATCTTTCCATAGAGCGTCTATCACTTTATCTTTAAGTTCACCCGTTTTGTTGAAAGATTTCCATTCTGTTATTAATCTCGTTTTGCAGTCTTCATTAATATGGTTTTTATCAGCAATAATCTTGCTGAAAGCTTTAGCAAACCACTGAATGTCAAGTACTGCATGTTCCCTCAATTTCTCTTCATTATAGTATAAAACAAGGCCATTGTCATGGAAACATTTTAGAAACATAGACATTTCCTCATCACTTTTAATTTGGTATTCATGGGGAAGGGATGCATTGAGCTTCCAAATTTCACTACGGGGGCAAAACTTTCCAGGCTCCTTCATATAATAACTGCTCCATTAAAGCCCATGAAGAAGGTAACTCAATTTTTGTATTGTTCTCATTTGTAAATAGTTCAACGATGGACTTTGTCATGGAATCCAGGTTTCTTTTCGTGTGATCATTAAGTTTAACTAGACCCACTGTATATGTACGGTCTTTAAGAGATTCTTTTAACCAATCTCTGTCCTCAGCTGGTACTGCCTCCCAGAATTCCTCAAAATACTTCTCTATCTCCTGAAAAGGTAAATAAAGACATACATTAAAACATAATATGAGGCCCAAGAGCCAGAACACTCCAATGATTCTAACAGCATTCACGTTTTTAACTACATTTTAGGTCACCTGAGCAAACTCACGTGACCTATTGCTATCAATTATCATCTGTCGTCATGCGTCGTCTGTCCTGCATTGTATATTAACCTTTGAACATTTTCAGCTTTTTTTCTCAACTGCTCAACCAATTTCAACCCATTTTTATACAAAGCATCTATGGGTGAAGGGGAACAAAAATTGTGGATTTTATGGAACCTGCCTCACTGGGGCTTGAGTGGAGGGGTCAAAAACATATATTAAACTAGAACTGTCCAAACGGGACAAAATACCCCCTGCTGGGTTTTTCAGAAGTAAGTTCTTCCATAATAAAGATATGTATCGAACATGAATAATGAAATTTTTATTCCAGTGACCATAAACTTCCCCAAATGACCTTGGATTAAGGTCATGACACACCCTTAGGTCATGGGCAATCTTTGAGTGAAATGAGAACCTACCAAGATTATCCGTAAGAAAGATATGGACCGGACACGAATCATGAAATTTTTCTACCAGTGACCTTGAACTTCTCCAAATGACCTTGGGTCAAGGTCATGACACACCCTTGGGTCAAGTGCAATCTTTGTGTGAAATGAGAACCTACTAAGTTTATCCATAAGAAAGATATGGACCGGACACGAATTATGAATTTTTTCTACCTGTGACCTTCTCCAAATGACCTTGGGTCAAGGTCATGACACACCCTTGGGTCATGGGCAATCTTTGTGTGAAATGAGAACCTATCAAGTTTATCCATAAGAAAGATATGTATCAAGCATGATTGATGAAATTTTTCTTCCAGTGACCTTGAACTTCCCCAATGACCTTGTGTCAAGGTCATGACACATCCTTGGGTCATGGGCAATCTTTGTGTGAAATGAGAACCTATCAAGTTTATCCATAAAAGATATGTATCAAGCATGATTGATGAAATTTTTCTTCCAGTGACCTTGAACTTCCCCAATGACCTTATCCATAAGAAAGATATGGACCGGACACGAATTATGAAATTTTTCTGCCAATGACCTTGAACTTCCCCAAATGACCTTGGGTCAAGGTCATGACACACCCTTAGGTCATGTGCAATCTTAGTGTGGAATAGTAGATTCTAATGTCCCTCTGTAAGAAAGATATGGACCGGACACGATTGCACAGACAGACGGATGGACAGACAGATGGACAGACAGACAGCTAGACGGACAGACAGACAGACGGACAGGGTGATTCCTATATCCCCCCAAACTTCGTTTGCGTGGGGTATAAATATAACAAGAGGCCAAAGCCCAGAACACTCAAGTGAATCTATTGATTTGCCTGTTCTTTACTCCATTTTTTTTCAAAATGTCATTTTATTCTCATGAAAAAATCTTCTTCATTAAATTCTAGAATATTGACCTGCTACTATGAACAAATCTTAATTATTAAAGCCATAATATGGAAAGAGGTCCAAAGGGTTCTTTTTCCTAAATATTTCATCTAAAACTTTTATTTATAGCATACCTTTACAACGAAGAAAGATTCCAAATAAATATGACAAATCAGGTTTCCCCGTTTCCTTGAAAAGAATACTAGTAACTGTATTTTAAATTTATATCTCCTTGTATTTTCATGTAAATCCTAGTAAGTGCTCATTGTGGCTCAATCCTAATTCCGAGGGTCATGATTTGAACAAAATTGAATGTATTTTACTAGCAGCTGCTTTTAAATATGACCGACATGGCTTTGTTGTTTTATGAACACTAATTTTAAAGACCTCTCTACTTTTTTAAAAAAAATAAAATTCTGATCCCTTTTTTCTGCCATTTCATAGACCAAAGGGGACATACAAAATAACAAATTATGACTTTGCTGTTCTTCAGAAGACAAAAAGCTTTTCTTCCCTGTATATTTCTATGTATGATCCCCTCATAAAAGTTGGATCCCTTGTTTCCCCACCCTGGGTGTCATGATTTGAACAAACTGGAAAATATATAAACTTTCTTAAACAAGAGGCCCATGGGCAACATCGCTCACCTGAGCACATCGACTAGGAGAATGCACAAATCAGATCAGAATTGAAAAGTTTACTGAGATGGTGGGGTGGGGTGGGGTGGGGGCTTGAATTCTAACACTACTTGAGAATGTCTCTATATCAATTCTGCATTTAACTTATAGAGAGAGTTCTCTATATATTCCTATGTAAAACTTTGATCTGCCATTGTGGCCCCACCCTACCCCCGGGGGTCATGATTTGAATGAAATGAAATGTACACTACATGAGGATGATTCCACATGAGTTTCATCTTTCCTGTCCCAATGGTTCTTGAGAAGAAGATTTTAAAGATTTTTTTCTCTATATTTCTATGTCAAACTTTGATCGGCATTTTGGCCCCACCCCTGCCATGGGAGTTATGATTTGAACAAACTTGAATGCACACTATTTGAGGAAGACTCAATAGGACTTTCAACTTTCCTGTCCCTATGGTTCTTGAGAAGAAGATTTTTGAAAGATTTTATACGAGGGCTGTTCAATAAATAATGTCATGAGCTGTATGACATATAATACCGATACCGATATCATATGACATTATGAGCTGGACTTTCTCTCATTATTTAATCTTTAATGAATTTATAACAGTTCATGTGACCACTTTTCATCACATAGTTTCATTGTGAGAAGCTAGAAAACAAGGGCTATTCGAGACACTGCATTATAAATGAATGGTAAAGAAGAAGTACACTAGAGTGAAAATAAAAGCTTCATTAAAGCTGCTGTTGAACTTGTTAAGAATCTCAAAGAAATATTCACTGAAATATGTGACATTTACAGCAACCAATGTCTGTTTTATAGATAAATGAGCAGTTGAATTTTAATGATAAAAAAATTATATAATGGGTATCAAAAATGGGTACCGTTCTTGCCAAAAAAAATTGTAACAACTGATGTACTCTTTGCAAAATTTAAACAAATAATATTTAATAATGTTTGATTGACTTTAAGACAAAAAGCAAATTCAACAGACATCACTGGGGGTACTTTACACTTTTTTCAAGAAACGTTTGACGGTAAAAAAAAAGCTTAGTACTCAAAGGTCATTATATATTTTGAAAAATAAGTGAAAACGACAGCGTGTAAGAATGTCTTAACAATTGTTATAAAATATCAGTAATTGTAGTTATACACGTTTGTGTTATATTCAAACAGATAATAGAACTTCAATCTATTGCTTAAAATCATCAAAACAAAATTTACCATAAGATGTACTTGATAACAAGAGGCCCAATGGCCTTGAATCACTCTTCTGATAAATTGTACAATCTATCACTTCTATTAGAAGCCTCTAACTCTATTAGTATCATAAGACCCAAAATGCATCAACTTACAAAGTTTGGTAATATTTAGCCAGTTAAGACTGAAGATATTATAATATAATTATAAAATACCATAAGTAGGTCACAGTGACCTACCTTTTGATTGAAATTTTCTGAGGACTCAAGATACATTAATTGACAAAGACTGATGATTCTACTGATGATTCTAATTAAATAAGTACTTGAGATATTCAAAAGTAGGTCACCATGACCTACTTTTTGGTCAACATTCTCTGAAAACCCAAGATGTATCAACTAATAAAGTTTGATGATTCTAAGCCAATTAGTACCAGAGATAATTAAATAGAGCCATCAAATGTCAAAAGTAGGTCACAGTGACCTACATTTTGGTCGACGTTATCCAAAAACCCAAGATGCCTAAACTGACAAAATTTGATGATTCTAAGCCAATGAATACCTGAGATATTCAAAAGTAGGTCGCCGTGACCTACTTCTTGTTGAACATTCAATGAAACCGTAAGATGCCTCAACTGACAAAGTTTGATGATTCCGAGCCAATAAGTACCAGATATAATGAAATATAGCCATAAAATGTCAAAAGTAGGTCACAGTGACCTACTTTTTGGTCGATGTTCTCCGAAATCCCAAGGTGCCTAAACTGACAAAGTTTGATGATTCTCTAACCTAATACGTACCTCTGATATATTTAAAAGTAGGTCACTGTGACCTACTTTTTGGTCGACAATCTCCGAAAACCCAAGATGCCTCAACTGACAAAGTTTGATGATTCTTAGCCAATAAGTGCCTGAGATACTTAAAAATAGCCATAAAATGTCAAAAGTAGGTCACTGTGACCCACTTTTTGGTCGACAATCTCCGAAAACCCAAGATGCATCAACTCCCAAAGTTTGATGATTTTAGGTCAATAAGTACCAGAGATACTTAATTATAGCCACAAAATGTCAAAAGTAGGTCACCATGACCTACTTTTTGGTCGTCACTCTCTGAAAACCCAAGATGCATCAACTCACAAAGTTTGATGATTCTAAGCCAATAAGTACCGGAGATACTTAAATAAAGCCATAAAATGTCAAAAGTAGGTCACCGTGACCTACTTTTGGTCGTCACTCTTACAAAACTAAATATGCATCCACTCACAAAGTTTGATGATTCTAAGCCAATAAATACCTAAGATACTTAAATCTAGCCATAAAATGTCGAAAGTAGGTCATCATGACCTACATTTTGGTCGACATTTTTCAAAGACCCAAGATGCATCTACTGACCAAGTTTGATGATTGTAGGTCTGAAGGTAATCAAAATATGCATTTTAAACAATTTGAAAACAAATGTTGGCAAAATTCAAAAAGTAGGTCACAGTGAACTACTTTTTCATAAATATGTTTTAAGGTCCCTAGATGCATCAAAGTACAAGATTTGATGATTCTAAACCTCCCAGTGTCTGAAATAATGGGATTTAATGTTTTTAAAAGGATAAGTCATAAAGTTCAAAAAGTAGGTTACGATAACCTTTTTTTACGTTGACATTCTTCGAAGACCCAAGATGCATCAACTGACAAAGTTTGGAGACCATAGGCCTTAAAGTGTCAAAAAATATGCCTTCAAATCAATTTGAAAACAAATCCCTGCAAAATTTAAAAAAAAGGTCACTGTGACCTACTTTTGAGTTAACATGATGTGAAGTCGTAAGATGCATCAACTTACAAGATTTGATGATCCTAGTCCTTATAGTAAGCAAAATATACACGTTTTTATTAATTGTAAATTTAGGTCAACTTTGAAGTGACCTTGAGACCACGCCCTTTGCCCCAGGGTAATTCCCCGTGCAAATTTTAATCTTCGACATATTCTGTTCCTTGTATGTAAGTTTGGTGAAAATCTGCCTGGTGGTTATGGAGAAGAAGATTTTTTAGCAACCAGTACTTTTGGTTTTGTTTTCCTGATTATCTCCCTTTTTTTAAGGGTCCCAACCCTTATTTTAGTATAAATGGTAGCCCTTGGGCCAAGGGATACCCTGTGACAAATTTGGTACTGATTGGCCAAGGGGTTCTAGAGTTATGGCCCATATTCTAAAAAGTTTACGCACACCGCACAAATGGCCATAGCATTAGCTCTTTGAGCCTTTGGCTCAGAAGAGCTAAAAACAGCGAAGGACTGACAAGTGCAAAGAATTGCAAGAGCACAAAGACAGATTTATATCCAATTTCTTAAATATTAGTGGTATTGTTGTTCAAATTCGTATTCGGGGAGACAGATTAGGTTCTGGAGGAGTCTAGAAAGCAAAATTTTTGCCACAAAATTGAAAGATTCATGAGAGGAAGGACCCAGAATCAGGAATCCACTACATTAAATTTCTTCATGACAGCGGCCAAATCCACACGCCCTGAATAGTAAAAGGATATTTGGGATAAAGAGAAAATTAATGTTTTTTCACATCAACAGTATTCGCCAGATCTTTGACCTTTTGACTTGATTCTATTTCCAAACTTGAAAAAAAACACCTTTCAGAAGGAAGAAACAAGTCCAGGAAATCATTGGATCTGCCATTTTCCAGTATATTAAGGGTCATGCTCACAAATGAGTTCTAAAAACAATCAGAAATTGGATAAAAAATCTTACGGTCATGTGTTTTATTAAAAGAGATTAATAAGTTAAATCATGAAAACTAAATAATTAAAAAGCTTCTTTTGCTTCTTTCCGAGCACCGAGGGCATTATTTATTGAACAGCCCTCGTATTCCTATGTAAAACTTTGATTAGCCATTGTGGCCCCACCCTCCCCCCGGGGGGTCATGATTTGAACAAACTTGAATGTACACTATCTGAGGATGATTCAACATGAGTATCATTTTTCCTGTCCCAATGGTTCTTGAGAAGAAGATTTTTAAAGATTTTTCCTACATATTCCTATGTAAAACTTTGATCGGCCATTGTTGTCCCATCCTACCCCCGGTGGTCATGATTTGAACAAATTTGAATGTACACTATCTGAGGATGATTCAGCATGAGTATCATCTTTCCTGTCCCAATGGTTCTTAAGAAGATTTTAAAGATTTTTCCTATATATTTCTATGTAAAACTTTGATCGGCCATTTTGGTCCCGCCCCTGCCCCGGGGATCATCATTTTAACAAATTTGAATCTGCACTACATGAGGATGATTCCACATGAGTTTCATCTTTCCTGGTCCAGTGTTTCTTGAGAAGAAGATTTTTTTTAAAAATGCGATTAAGTTTTCACTAATTCATAATTATCTCCCTTTGGAAGAGGGTGTGGCCCTTCATTTGAACAAATTTGAGTCCCCCTTACCCAAGGATACTATGTACCAAGTATGGTTGAAATTGGTCCAATGGCTTTTGAGAAGAAGATGAAAATGTGAAAAGTTTACAACACCAACGACGACAGACAATGGATAAATTTTGATCAGAAAAGCTCATTTGAGCCTTTGGCTCAGGTGAGCTAAAAATCATACGTTAATTTTTATCTGATCAAATGAGTCTTGAGATGAAAACTTTGGAAAATGGCATATTTTATTTATTCTTAATTATCCCACCTTCAAAGCCGATGTGACCTTTTTTGATTCATTTTATAGGATGTTTCGTGCCAAGTTTGGTTGAAATTTGTCCATGCTGCTAGGATAAGGCTGCACATAAAAATTAAACTGTTCAAACTGTAGTAACTTCAATGAACACTAATTGAATTTAATAGGGAATTGTGTGATGTTTATCCAGTTTTGTATAAATTGAAATAAAGAGTGGGAAAAAAACCCTTCTTATTTTAGTTAGTTAAATTCCCCGTAAAATGTTTTTAAGAAGTAAATATTAAACCTGCCCCCAGCACTTTCCATGTACCAGAGATGACGATTAATTTATCTATGTAACAAACTTTGAACAATTATTTTGTTTTGCACTTGTGCCGAGGCGACCATTGTGCAACATATAAGAATATCATAAATGCCCCACAAAATCAACAAAAATGCTTTATCTTAATGCCTGATTAAACTATTATCCGCAATTTTAGGCAAGGACTACATATTGAAATTAAAATCTAGCTCAAAATAAATTAAATATTTAAGGCATTTAATTATAAGCCTTCATACAGCCTATTATAACTCTGCAGTGGTTCTTGAGAGGAAGTCGTGAATCTGAACAAACAAATGGAAAACTAGACAGCTAGACGGACGAGTGACACAATACGACCAGGAAACCTTATCAAATGTGTTAAAATTGTACCAGTTGAATTTTTTAAGGTAGAAAGGTAAAAAAAAATAATGATGATAACAGCAACAAAAGTGGATATAAAAAAACGTCTTTTGGTTAGCTTGCCAAAAATAGTGTCTGAGTGAAAAATTCTAGAGAGGGACGTCAAACATAAACAAACAAATGTTGAATAATTTATTTTTTTTCTTTTTCTAATTTACGCTCAGATGGAAATATATAGATCTGTTAGCATAATAAAGCCAATGCTAACATCAGTAGATTTTCTTTCTGTGTGTGTGACAACGAGAAACAATGGTGCCTTAGTGCCTCCAAATTTCTTGATTGAGGTTATCCAGAACTTAAGGTAGTCTGGAAGAACAAATAGAAGAAAATGGAGATAACGAACAGTATTCAATATTAAAGTCCATAAAACAATACAATAAAGGAGCAGAGCAAACACGGACCTGCGAAACATCAGAGGTGGGATCAGATGCCATGGAGTAGTGAGCATTCCTTGCTGTAGAGTATCATAATAGGATAAAACAGACTGGTGTGTGAGCTTAGTTCTACTGCATTATACTTAAAACAGTACGTACTAGTGGAATTTGTACCTTTACTTCAAAAATATGTTAACATGCTTTAGTATTTGATAACTTATTTTTCAAAACACTTTGCTTACTTTTGCGAAAAAAATCTTTAATCTTTAATTGGGAAACACAATTTTCAGGAAATATGGTTTTTGCATGATTATATACTCAATAACCATGATGAAACATCTTTGGGTTTAACAGGATTAACGGGGCTCAAGAAGACACTTGATATAATAAAATTATATATTTTACCGAGTAACCGGGTATACGATCGGAAAAACGTTCGAGTACAAATGTAACCGATTATCAAACATTGACCAAGTTGATATCCCTATTAGAATTAGAAGTCTTAACATGCGTTCTCTGTAAGCACCAAAAAATCTTGGAAACGACATATCTCCGATTTTTATGAAATTTGCCCCACAGTTGCACCTTGGTACAAAACCAGCAAATATATTGATAGTTTGAGTTGTCTCTCTGTTTTAGGTAAACTCCAGACGAGCAGATGGTCTGCTCAGCAATGTGTTTATAAAACAGGAAAAAAAGAAGGGCACATGGTTTATGGTATTTAATGGTAAATGATTTAAAAATTATAGTAAAACTCGGTTATTACGAAGCAAGGGGGGCCAAAAAATTACTTCGCTACATCCGTAATTCATTATATCTGTATAACATGTATAAGAAATATATTACATTTATATAGTTGGGGATCAAAGATGCGTTTATCATATCCGTGAAATCGCAATATCCGTGTTCAAACTAACCAAATTCTACTGTAAACATTATTGTTTACATTGTTATAATTTGATAAATTGAACCTCTCCTTTTAAATTCGGTTTACGATATTACAAGTAATTGATGTAAATCAAAATACTTTAGTATCACAACATGATATAATTATACCTTTGTAAGCCTTGATATTATGACATTATATAATATCAGAAGGTTATTTTCATAATTTCCATTGGCTGAAAGGATGTCACATGATAATCCTCCTTTTGCAATAGGGACGTGAAAGCGCGTTGGCGAAAAATGATATCGCACGACACACCGTTCTGATGCATTGAAGTTACGTAAGAACATGACGGCATAATATAGGAAGAGTGTTTTTAACAATTGTAACGTAATGACAGCCAAATCCGTTTAGTTAGGACTGTGATAGCTAGTGCATTTACATTGAGTAATTATATAATATAACTATTATGGACTTCAGTGAACGGCTCGGTCGCTATCACTTTCTGTGTCTTCGGTCAATATTAATTGCCATAAATCCTTAACACATAACCACATTTCGACCTAGACTCAAGTCCATTTTTGTATAATGTCTAACATTTGTAACGTCTTGATATCACGTTTCCTGTCTTACCTTTGTAAGTCCACACAGAGAAGATTGATCCTTCCTGGTTATCTTTCTCTTTACTGACAATATTGTCAAACCTCTTAGTCATGTCCAACACAAGGATGAAGAAGGCCTTTGGTGTTACGTAAATTTGGTGGCAAGCATAATACGCTAACTGACCAGCAAAGTCCAGCATGCTTACTGTTGGAAACTTTTCTTTCTCAGACAAGATTTTTTCCAAAATTTCATACTCAACCATTGCTTGTGCCTCTGAGGAGAGAACATTGGTCATTATTTCTACTGTATTCTCTTCTTCGCCTTCACTCGGGGACATAGACTTTTCCATATTCCCTTCTTTCTTTTCTTCTTTGCCTTTAGTTGGAGAACTGGACACCTCAACATTCCTTTCTTTCTTTTCTTCTCTGCTGTCTGTTACTTCAGTGTCTTTATCAGAACTTTTTGCATCCAAATTGTCTTCATTTTCATTCGAGTTGGAGGTGTCATCTGCACTGCTCGGTTCTGGTTTCAATTCTTCAGCGTTTATCCTGATAAATGCCTTCAATGGTGAGTCATCACCAGCCACTGTAAAAAAGGAATTTTGTTATTTAGTTAATAATATCTTTTTAAAACACATCATTTAGTGGCAATATATCTCTTTTATCAAGCTAAGGATTAAATACAAACATGCACTTTTACAATTTAAGCTGAGGATTAAGAACAAACATACACTTTTTACAGTTTATACATACAGGTAATTAAATTGTGTTCCCATATATCTTCACAGATAAATGATGGAGTAATTTTACATTGTAGTTAAATGTGAAGTGTTTTGTGGATATGCCTAATAATAATAATTTAAAAACAAACAAAAGGACCATGGGCAACATCACTCAACTAGGCAAAATGGCTTTATCATGTTAAAAAAGGAATAAATGCATAAAATGGAGGCTGGTTTTAATTTTTTGATCTTGAGTCTACGCCTACTAAGAATGCTTACTTATTTCGTTGCTTAACTGTGTTTTTTTCCATAAAAGTTTGAATTTCATTTATCCCCCCCACCTAAATATGTTTATTTTTTCCTACCCCAGTGGTCCCTAGGGTTTTATAATGCCCCCACTAAATTTTAACTACTGTATTTGTTAATCATCTTTACTTGGAGGAGGATGAGGTCCTTCATATGAACAAGCTTTAAGAGACCTAGGGGTCTCATATGTCACCTAAGTATCATGAAACATTTTTTTTTACTTTCCAACAATTGAATATGGTTCAGTACACTTCCTGTTTAAAAGCAGAGGCCATGTCATTCACACTTTTTAAAGAGACACCATTTCTTGTCATAAGTATACACTTAGCAACCCTTATTTGGTTACGAAATATTCATTGGGGAACAAAAAATGAATTTCAACTATTCATTAATAATAAGAAATAATCAGTAGTGCCTCACCTCAAAGGAACCCTTTACCTTGGGTTCCACACATTTCAGAATTTTGGAAAAGACAACTTTACTCATGATAAATGTTTGATTACTACCAAGAAGCAGATTTCCAAGCATTAATTCATTTTCTGTATATAATTAGAGAATCCCTTAACATGTACCTTATCCTTGACCCAGTTGCCTTGAATTCAAAATTCTGGAAGAAGGAAACACGTTTATTATCACTACGTACTAGGTAGTTTATCTGCTCAATATCATGGAGCAGAGGAAAAGATTTTCAAAGAAATTATGCATTTTTGCTTTATAATCAAAAGAGCACTGCCCTAAAATCAAAACTCCCGACCCAAGGGCCATGAAGTTCATAATTTAAATGATTCACCCTTCTTCATCGGGGTTGTCTGGGAAATACCTGGGGTAGAAAGGATGACTGCACTTAAGTACATCAATTTTGCGTTTCGTTCTAAGTCATTGAATTTTGACGGATTTATGGCATTTTTATTATTTTTTTAATTGGAATTGCAATAATGTTTGTGATTCACTGATTTAATGTTCCATTCAAGTTTCGTTCTTAAAGGGAAAATGTACAGAAATTGTTTTACCTTCTAAAATTCCATCTCTAACAATGAAGAGATGTTTATGGACTTCCAGTCCCCTGGTGGACTCTGTAACTTCACCAACATTTTGATGTTTCCCTTTAAATCGATTCAGCAGTGTTGTTAGTCCCTTTGTCGACTTTTTCACGTCACTGTGATTTTGGCATTGCTCTCTTAATCGCTTCAGTAGTGTTGTTTTCCCAGCCTCGCCACATCCAACAAGTATTCCTCTGGCATGAAAAACAGTGGTTTTCTCCTTTTTCAGAAAATCTACAAAACAAATAAAAACATGAAAAAAACTGATTTAATTCTTTACATTTCAAAACAAAACGCATATTTTTGACAGCAGAGCTTAAAACAAGTAAAAATCCTAACCCGACTAGTTTATTGTGCTTCATGGAAGATGTAGAACTTAATAGCCCTCTGACTGAGAAAATTTGGATAGATTAGTCAGTTCTATTGTAGCAATAATAATTAATACATTCAATAATCCAAGGATATTAGGTCATGTCAATGAGTTAGATTTTAGGTCAAATGATAAGAACAGGTCTACTGAATTTGAGTTCAGGCCAAGTTTTGTTGAGGTCAGTTCTAATTAAGATGAGGTCAGGTCTAGTCAACATGAGGTCAGGAGAAGTGAAGATGAAGTCGGAAATAGTGAAGATGATATCAGGTATAGTGAAGATGATGTCATGCCTAGTGAAGATAAAGTCATGCCTAGTGAAGATGAAGTCATGTCTAGTGAAGATAAAGTCATGTCTAGTGAAGATGAAGTCATGTCTAGTGAAGATGATGTCATGTCTAGTGAAGATAAGGTCATGTATAGTGAAGATGAAGTCATGCCTAGTGAAGATAAAGTCATGCCTAGTGAAGATGAAGTCATGTCTAGTGAAGATAAAGTCATGTCTAGTGAAGATGAAGTCATTTCTAGTGAAGATGATGTCAGGTATAGTGAAGATGATGTCAGGTCTAGTGAAGATAAAGTCATGTCTAGTGAAGATGAATTCATGTCTCCTGTAAAAAAAAGTCATGTCTAGTGAAGATGAAGTCCGATTTAGTGCAGATGAAGTAAGGTGTAGTGAAGATGAAGTCAGGTCTAGTTAGGATGATATCAGGTATAGTGAAGATGATGACAGGTAAAGTGAAGATGTGGTCATGTCTAGTGAAGATGAAGTCATGTCTAGTGAAGATAAGGTCAGGTGTAGTGAAGATAAGGTCAGGTGTAGTGAAGTGAAGTCAGGTTTTTAGAAGTCGAAAACGTGAAAAGTTTACAGAGTGACAGACAACTATACGGACAGAAGACGGACAAATCTGACCAGAAATGCTCAATTTAGCCTTAGGCGCAGGTGAGCTGAAAATGAATCTCCTCATATTGCAATTACCTCAATACAGAGTGTATTAAAATTTCAAGCATCTTCAAAATGTTAAATGAGTAATTGCAGAGAAAACTATGACAAAAAATTAGTTCTTATTGTACAGACAGACACACAGATAAACAGGATATTGACAACAATTAAAACAAATTTAAATCCAATCATATGCCATGCCTAAACAAAGAGCATGTTACAATTCTAAGCATCTTCAATGAGTAGACAATTGTTGTTGAAAAAAAATGATGAGAATTTTTGCTTTGTATGGTACCGACAGACACACGGATAAACATGAAGTTGACATATTCATACAAAAACGAATCCCGCCATATGGCATGTTGCTAAAAGAATTAAGCAACTCTAATGAAAAAATACTAAAAAAAAAAACTGTGGAAAAAAGACACACACCATGACTTCATTTTCATTTTGGCAAAAAAAGAAATAATATAATACATCATGCACATGAGGAATGTCAAAACAACACGCAGTGTAGATTTTCTAAACACCTGCTATAGAAATGCACAACATTCCTGGACAGAGCTTTGTTAATATCAATGATGTCTATATCTCACTGTCAACTTGTACAAAATACCATCTGGTAACTGTACAAATTCTTTTTCATGTACATTGATTGATTGAATGATGGTTTATTATTTGACGTCCCTCTCGAATATATTTCCCCGTCTAAGTTGACCTACAAACTAGACAATTGGACTGTTACTGATTTACTCACTTTACTACATGTAGGAGTGGACAATAAAAGGTCAACCCAATAGAAGATAATATCAATAAGATTTGTTTTACATCTATTTCTTTAGCCAAAGAAAGCTGTCCATAAAGCTCCTGGACAACATTGATAATTACTGACAAACATTGAGAGTCGTTGTACATGTAATTTATTAGCCAAGGACAGAAGATTTAACATTGTTTGTGATCATGGGTGATGTAGGACAGAGTCAACTGTACTATACATACTACTATTAATGCATTTTAACCTGTCTCTTATATCCATAATGTCTGATGTAGTGTTTAATTTAATTCGTTATTATGAGTATTATCATCACTTTTTATTTATTTATTTTTCTCTTTTAATGCAAACAAAGTGGATAATATTTTTTTTAAATAAAATATCACTGGGCTGTTTCCAAGGTTATCTTATAAATCTACTATGTGTGTGGCATATGTACATGCTCGCATCTTTGTATTTTTAATCATCCTTAATTTTATTGCTTTTTTTTATATTTTTAACTGTGATAGTCGGTTAAGAAATCTACAGAAAACATGTTGACTTTACATTAATATTTACTTACTTTCAAATTTAATGCAGAATCAGTAGTTTGCCAAACATAACAAACAAATGACAAAGTTATAACTAAACCAATTACATATTAAAGAACTCTTAAGCATTTTATCTGAAATGTATTTACTTAAGTTATCAAAGTAATAAATAACAGTTTATGATTTATGTATCCTCATATCATGTATTAGTAATAATTCTTATTACTTAATTCAACAAGTTATAATAGAATTAATTATGTAATTTAATTACACTAAATACAATACAAATTTTAGTTAATGTCTTGTAAAAACATAAAAAAAAACACAAATAATAATTACTGTAAACGTATTATATTTGGCTATTCATTCTTTTTAGCGCGTTTTATGGGAAGACACTTCCGCTAATTCAAGTACAACGCTAAATGTTTTGTACTTATATACATAAATAAGAATGATAAGAAATGTGCTGAATTAAATCTACGCTAACTTGTTCAATTTCCGCCAAACATCATACACGGTAAATATAATACATTTACAGTAATTGTACACAAGTAACATTGTACAGTCATGTAAAACAAAACACACAATTATACTGATGTAATACTTACCAGTCAGGGAGTGTTCCAGTCTGTGAATGTTCACTGTGTTGTTGTCGTCTGATCCCATCCAGACACAGTGAGTTCTGTTATCATAACTCAGACCCAGTGGTCTGTTTATCCCGTGTTGTTCTCTTTTTATTTGTGACAGGAGTCGCCCGTCACTGTCAAGTATATGTATCATGTTGGTAAAATAATCACACACCAGGATGTGTGACAGCGCATCAGTACAGATTTCATGTGGATCTAGTCCTGATCCTGATGGGTGACCTGTGTAGGAGAAGCGGTGTCTACCTCTACTGTTTGTCACCACCACAGCATAACGGCCAATGTCAGACACAATTACATCTCCATTGCGGTTCTCTGTGATTTAGATAGGATATTCATAAAGCTCCTGACCTGTGTTGTCATTCTCTATGGTCTGTATGTGTTCTCCTGTGTTAGTATACCGGTTTACCTGGCTTGTATCTTTATCACCTCTATACATCACGACCAGCAGGTCTCCAGTGGAGAGGGAGCTGTAGACACATTTTGGTATCCATGGTGATGTGTACGGTATCATCTTTACTTTGTGATCTGTAGAAAGTTTAATAATATTACGGTCACTGTCTATATAAATTAAATAACTGTCCCCAGTCACAGTATGTGCGCCACGGACACCTCTATTTATATTTGTAATATGACGTAGTTCATCACCCGCCATGTTTGTCAGTATGAGATTACCATCACCATCAGCGATCCAGACCCGGTCTGGTGTCACGTGGGTAATGTGACGACCACGTCTAACACCTGGCACTGTGATAGATTTGTGTAACACCAATCTATACATCAGTGAAACCTGACATTTATTTCATCTTTATCCACTGGATTCAGATTCTCGTGTTGATTTCTTCATTATCTTTAAATAACAAAACTTTGTTTTAATTATCTAAATCAATAACAGGGTTCTGTTTACATTACAATATGTGTATATTCATTTAACAATGTCTTGGTTTTACATAACATATAGAAAAGAAAAGAATTAATACCAAGATAACCACTGTACTGAGTACTCATCTCAGTGTTATAACAGCCTCCATGTCTCCTCAGTCATACCTGTTTAACAAAGCATTTATCAATTAAAACACCTAATTATAAATAATGAAATGATGGAAAACTTTTAAGGAAATAATATAAGACATTCTATAACATTGTATTTACCTTTATTGAGTCAATTTTATCATTTACAAAAGAATTACAAATAAAATAACAAGGTTGTGCAGCATTCAATCTTGATGTTCTTAATAAAAAGAAAATAAGATACACTCTGTATTAAAGCATGATCAAAGTTTTTTTTTAATTTTTTTTTTAAAAATATAGAGTTATATTACGTAACAAATAAAATAATTGATTACCACATCAATTTCTTGTATCTGGTAACAACAAGTTTGTCTATTTTTAACTTGCTTTTTGTCACAGTTAATGAAAAAACACATTTTTTCACATTATTTTTAATCATTCTTAAGACAAAAACTTATTTCAATTACTTTCTTTCATTCAATTATGATTATAAATCTAAAATTAGAATTATACATGATTTTTTAAATACAAACACACACACACCCTCACACACCACACCGGAACAAAACATGTACTTAAACACATGTACTGTATCTCTTTTTGGTGCAATAGGCCAAAAAATGAATCTTACTTTTTACAGCATTTTACTTATATGTTTCTCAATCTTTTTGTTTTGACAGTCAACAAAATGGCGACATTTACCTATTCTTACTTTTTGTACTCTTATATTAAAAATGAATCAGCTCAAAATGATTTTGATACAGATATTTTATTTTAAAGGAGTTAATCCATAAAATGCAATTTTTATAAGATAAACATTGTGAATATAACAATAGGCCCATGGGACAGGGCGCTCACCTGAGTCACCTTGCTGTTCTTCATTTATAGATTTGTTTATTTAATTAATATTTATATTTTCCCATGTTAAATTTTGATCACATTTATGTGACCCAAACTTACTCCCAGGTGTCATGATCTGAATTAATTTGAATCTTCACTATCCGAGGAGATTATGACAAATCTTAACTTTTCTGATCTCAGAAAAAAAAAGATTTTAAAGATGTTTCCCCTTGATCATTGTTTATATCTTTATTTTTAACTCAGATGGCCCACTGTGACCCACCCTATCCCTGGGGTATCAAAATTTGAACAATCTTAAATCTGCACTACCTAAGAATACTTCCATATCATTGCAAATTATCATGGCTTTGCTTTTTTATAGCAAAATATTTTTAGGTAACATGAGCAAACTCAGGTGACCTATAACAGTCCGTTTTCGTTTGTCGTCGTACATCCTCCGTCCTGCGTCAGGGTTTCTTGTGTTAGGGCGGAACCCTATGGATATATAGTGAAAAAACATCAATTCTTTGAAAATCTCCTTAGCTCCAAGGTATTAAACAAACAATTTGCAATTGAAAGTACATAGTTATAATGAGTGAAAATGCCTCTTCCCAAATTGTGATTTCTATGGCCCCATGGGTCAGGGGTTCTGGTGTTAAAGCGGGGCTTTTTTGGTTACATAGTAAAAATGCAATAAATTTTAGAAAATATTCTCTGCTCCTGGGTATCTAATAAACAAACTGAGTATAAAGTTATAATAAGCGTGAATGCTTCTTCCAAAAATATGAATTCTATGGCCCCTAGTGTCAAGGGTTTTGAATTATTAAGGGCAGGGCTCTATTGATTTTATAGAAAAAATGCATTTATTCTTTAAAAATCTTTTCTCTGCTCCTGTTTATTAGATAAATTAATCAAGTATATGATTATGTTAGATAATGCTGCCTCTTTCAAAATTGTGAGTTTCATGGCCCCAGGGTCTGGCTTTCTTTTCCTCAAACTTCCAAAATTTGTTGGCAAAAAGTATGTGATTTTACAGTTTTTTAATCACCTCCTCTTGAAAGAGGGCATGGGTCCTCCTTCAAAAAAACTTAGCAAAGAAGATTCTTTATCACAAGTTTGAATGAGGAATTGACCCAGTGGTTCTGGAGAAGTTGAAAAATGTGAAATACAGTATTTACAGATGGATGGATGGACAGACAGCTAGATGAAAGACAGACAAAAATGTGCTTAGCAAAGCTCACTGGTATCTATTAGCATATACATGTATGATGTATGAAAAATGGGAATGGGTCAAACTTTCACTTGGAAAAGATGGTAAAATGAATTATTTCCCTTATCAATATGGTTTATCTTATATGCAGCGGTGACAGAGGAAGTATAAACAAATTATTTTTGGCTTTATGATTTTTTGCAATTGAATGAAATGTAAAAACCTGTAATGTGATGATTTCTGGGTTCTCTTTTCAACTGCTCAGCACTTTTGGGAAGTTGTCAAAAATTTCAAAACGCTAACCTTTTTTCCTATCTAGCAGGTAACACGAGATTTAATTGGTTAATAATTTGGGTCTTGTGCGTAGCCAGGCGTATGTTTGTGCAATGTATGCACAAACGTCCACATCTTTTTTCAAAGGTGAGAGAGGGGGCGTAATTCCCATGTAATTTTGTATGCTCTTAAAGCGTACACTTAATTTTGCTATAGATATTTAAAACAAATTATTTTTATGTTTGAGTGCATAATGGTAAAATTATGTTAGGCAATATTAAGCAAGATATTAAGCTTGGACCTACCTTAAACGATACATAATGACTTCGGAAAGGATATTTGAACTTGATAATGTTATAAATGTACTAAAGATAAGTTTATTTGCGCTGTACAGAAATAAGATATGAAATGAGATAAAACAAGGAGGTAATGAGGTAACTGTGATAAAGTGATTTTAACCGATTTGATCAGCTGAGTATTATTCATCATTTTGTTGGCTTAATATTCGTTAATATGGTTTCATTTCCCAACTTTTGATAGTCATGCTTTCGATTGTTAGAGATTTTCCACTTAATTTTTTGTAAGACCAGCTAAATTGTTCTTCAACGGTGAGAAGAGTGCTATTCAGTTAAGTTATTATTATACATGAAGATTTTTTTATTTATTATATCAATATTTTGACGAAACCTCGCCTCTTTGTAAATTTTATTTTTTATGAACTATAATATCAATGAGATATTCTGCCCTCAATGGTAAATGGCGACAAAAGTGAAAACTCTCGAACATTATACAATCAGTCAATTAATCAATTAAGGTATACCAGTACTACTTCTATATTAATATTAAAGAACGAATTATTTGGTTATATTTTTAAACTATTTAAATCCCCGTGTATGTAAAGCAATTTCGATAATGATTAAATTATCCTATTGACTAATAAAGTGGGATCAGGTGCCATGGAGTGAGTAGCCCCTGCCGACCGATCACACCCGCTTCTTGTCATAATGGGGGAAAACGGAAAAAACGTCGTCAATTAAGTGTATAAATAATGAACTAGCAATAAGTATGAAAAACGTTAGTCAGCATTTGACTCAATTATAAATTGTATTCCATCACAAGGTCATTGTTTCGACCATGGAACTAAATGATGACTTCAAACGAGCCTCCTGAAATTCTTGTTTTATCAACTTGTTTGTCAATAATTTTACTCCTCGTATATATTATTCATACATGTATGTCTAGCATGAGTTATGTAAACTTCGTATTTAGGTGAGGAAGGTATATCGCTGCATAAGTAAGGAAATTTGATAGAAAAGATATCATGTTTATCATAGAGCTTGGTTGTTATATTACCATTAACGTCTTTTTGAAGTAAACTGTAAAGATATGAAACAAATTTGTCAGACTCTGTGGTAACTTTTATCTCAAGCTCACCAGGATATATCGTATCGACATAAGAATGGAAATACCTCTGTTAATTGATAGTATGTCAGTCATTTTGAAATTTTTTCATTACCAAAACACGGGAAATCAATCAAGGCAACATTGTACAATGTCACATATAGGTAATGGGAAATGATATTAGTCAGTGTCTTTGGGAGATCTCTAAAAGTGAAGTGCTGAGGTTTTCTAATGAAAGATACCAAGACTTATGTCATATTTAAAGGGTTGTTTCTTATCTCAAGCTCACCAAGATATATCAAATCGACAAGGAAATGGAATTTATTGTTGTTTATTGACAATACGTCGTCGATATATGTAAATGTTGAATTGAAGGCCACAGCAATTGTTTTCTTCTTTTCACGCATAATATTTTGCACAAATTCTGCTTCATATGATTACAAAACTAGGTCTGCTAATAACTGAGTGCAATAGGTACCCATGTTTTTTTCCCAATAGATTGTTGGAAGACCTGATCTCCAAAAATCACATAGATTCTGACAACAAGAAACTCAAGCATCTTTTTGCTGTCAACGTTAAATATAAATCTACATATGCACATATGACCGGCAAGTCATGGTGACCAAGTTGTGAAACGTTCTTGATATAACGATAAACAAAAAATATACAAAACTGATCAAGTTGAAGCGGTACAGCACGGTGCTGCAGGGTGGGTATGGTAAGATCACAGAAGGACATCGTGTGTATCCATTTTGCTACAAACTCTACACAAGCGCAGTTTGCAATCACGGAGAATCAAAGTCAGGAACAAACTCAAATGCAAGATAGTACATTGTCTTATAGCCATTCATTCAGTCCAACTTACCCCCTCCCCAGTAAAACTTTTTGGGCATCTTATTCCCTCATCTTTTTTACGGTACAGTCTACTAAAGATTATTAAGGGAAGAGATTGTCGGGCAGTGTTGTCTCGTTTTCAGATAATGAGCAACACAAACTGGAGGTTGGCAATTTG